TGACAAACAGTACAGTAAACTTGTAGATAACTCAAATATATGTAATAACTTAGGTGGAAAATGCTTTAACATTTCATGCAGCCTACATGCAGCCTCTCGGCTCTGCAAACGGTAAACAACCCCGCTGGCTTCTCTACGTGTCGCTTCCGTATGCAGTCAGTGGAGCCCAGATGAATGGAGCGGAGCGTGTGTTGTGTTCAGGCGTTGTCAGGTAAATAACAAATTCCGGCACTTGAATAGGCCATAGCACAACACAGCAGCATGTCAAGTTGGCCGAACCTGAGCAAAATACCGTGAAATACCGTGAAACCGATATGATTTTTTCTTTAAACCGTGATATGAAAATTTTGTCATACTGCCCAGGCCTACCATGTAGGTAATTTTTGCATGCAGAAATTATGACCCCTGGTTTGTTAAAGGCGCTGTATGTAAGAATGTGGCCAAAACAGTTACTGCACTCAAATTCAAAATACTGCCGCGAGTCGTGTCTGGCCCCCCCTCCCCTACAGATTTGAGGTTGCTGGACAGCGGCACACTGGAGACTGATTTGTTTGCCCACAGGCGGTTGCCGTGGCAGGGCCGTATCACCGCATCCTTGATCTTCGGTTTTCCAGTGGACCGTTGAAGCAAGTCTGGCTTCTCTGCTGCTAATGCTGCTGCCGGGATACAGCGGAGGAGGAGCCGGCTGCTGATGCTATGTACTGGGACACTGCTAATGCTGCTTGCAGTGCTGCTGTAGCTCAGTAGTAACTGTAACTGATGCTGAGACTCTACTGACTGTGTGACTTGTAGACGGTGGTGGGTGGCGCAACAAGCCAAAACACAAATTCAAAACATAAACATGATTTGCGGACCGTAAATTTTTTTTTTTTTTTTTTAATGCGAATATTCTGGCTGTACTATTGTTGTCGGTGAGATCAGTATGTTATATTAACATTATTCCTTAGTCTCTGTGACATATTAGGATGATTTTACGACTATTTGCTTTAGATTTCTTACGTATAGCTCCTTTAATTGTCAAGTGGGGACCTCTAGTGGATACAGAAACTGGAGCAAAGGAGGAGTCAGCTGATGTATACTAAGGAGTGATAAAGTCGAATTAGGGCTGGAGTGAGGGGAGGTGGATGGGTCAAACAAGCAAGACCAAAAGTCAACGTAGAGTTACTTTATCAATGTAAAACAGTACATCATAGTATGTCCGTCACATGAGATATGTTAGATATTGCTACTTGACAGAGACAGCAAACTAGCTCGACGACATGCCCATACTTAGTATGACGTAGTATTAGGCTGAATATATTAAACTGTATGGACTTTGAACTAATGACGAAGGGGAAATCTGAACCCCATGGCTGGACCAGATGGGAACTACTGGTTTAGGCTGCTAATGCAAGCTAGTGAACATGTTTCTTTTTAATTTCATTTTTTAAAGTGATAACCATGTAATATACATAATAAGTAATACTGTAGCTTTTAATTGTAGAAAAGATGCAAATGTTCGTTGGGGGGTAGTTGGTCCGGTGTTTGGGTGGGTGGTGCATGTCAATTGGCATCCACATGAATGTCAATCAGTTTCCCATCAGAGCATTGCAGTGTTATTAGTTGAATTATGTTATTCACTTCATTCGACAGTGGTTTTATTGTTTTGGCTGATCAGTGTACACAGTGGCATGCAAACGTTTGGCGACCCCGGGTCAGAATTTTGTTTACTGTAGTTACGTAAGTAGAGGATGAACAGGGAACTGAGGCATGAAGTTAAAGATGAAACATTTCTTTAAAATTCTAAGCAAGATTACCTTTTAATTCAATCTTTCCCAGTTTCAAAATAACAAAAAAAGGAAAAGGGCCTGAAGTACAAGTCTGAACATCCTACGTGGTCAGTAATTAGTAGTGCCCCCTTTGGCAAGTATCACAGTTTCTAAATGCTTCTTGCAGCCAGCGAAGAGTCTTTCAGTTTTTGTTTGGGAGATTTTCGCTCATTCTTCCTGCAAAAGGCTTCTAGCTTTGTGAGATTCCTGAGGTCCTGTGGTCTATCCACAGATTTTCAATGATGTTTAGGTCGGGAGACTGTGAGGGCCATGGCAAAACCTTTAGCTTGCACCTCCTGAGGTAGTCCATTGTGGATTTTGAGTTGTGTTTAGGATCATTGTCCTGTTGTAGAAGCCATTCTCTCTTCATCTCAGCTTTTTTACACATGGTGTGATGTTTGCTTCCAGAATTTGCTGGAATTTAACTGAATCCATTCTGTGAAATGTTCCCCAAATTACTGGCTGCAACACAAGCCCAAAGCATGATTGATCCATCTCCCTGTTTAACAGTTGGACAGGTGTTCTTTTTATGAAATTCTGCACCTTTTTTTCTCCAAACATACCTTTGCTCATTGTGTTCAAAAAGTTGTATTTAAACTCAATCAGTCCATAGGACTCAATGAAGGTTGTATTTGTACAGATGTTGCAGCACAGTAGAACAGTGCACCACCACTCCAGAGACTGATAAATCTTCCTGCAGGTCTTTTGCAGTCAAACAGAAGTTTTGATTTGGTTTTCTAACGAGCAGCTCTCTCAGAAAGTTTTCTCGGTCCTCCAGACTTCAACTTGCCCTTCACAGTTCCTATTAACTGCCATTTCTTAATTGCATTACAAACTGAGAAAACAGCTACCTGAAACACTTTGCTGTCTTTCTATAGCCTTCTCCCGCTTTGTGGACATCAGTTATTTTAGTTTTCTGTGTGCTAGGCAGCTGTTTAGAAGAGCCCATGGCTGCTGATTGTTGGGACAAGGTTTCAGGCGTCAGAATATTTATAAATCTTTGAAAATTTGCATCACCTGGCCTTTCCTAATGATGACTGTGAGCAAGCCATAGCCCTAACAAGCTAATCAAGGTCCAAGACACTGTTCAAATGACTTTGAGTGCCCAAACTTTTGCATGCTCTTTTCCTTTTTTTTCTACTCTAAAATTGTACAAAACAAAAATAATACACTAACCTTGCTTAAAATGTTGAAAAGCATATTTCAGTTCACCTTCTACTCACTTTGACCGTTCAAATTAAATTTTAGTGAAGAGTCTTCCTTTGTCCACCACCTATTGTGTTAAAACTTCACATGGCAAATTTGGTTAAATGTTTGAACATTAACAGTGCAGCAAAACCTCTATTTGTGCCCAGCAGTCAGACTCTGCCACTGGGTGAATAAATGGGGTAAAGAATTGCCACCAAATTATTAATTTTAACAACATATCCTTTAAACACAGGAAAGCAATACTATGCCTCTCTGTAATAGTTTGTTTCCAGATTCTCTTTAAAGTTTATCAAGCTCCAGCTCTTTGCTACCCCAAAGTCATTTCACCCCTATGAGCCAGTGAGGAGTATTAATAAATACCCAAACAGGCTCTCTGTGGTCAATGAAATCCAAAAGCTACTGGGCATTCACCATTTTAATACTGCAGTGTTTGCTTGCTCTCTTATCACCTCAAAAAATAGTTTGCCCCGAAATGAAAATTCAGTCATTTTCCACTCAACCCCCTGTCAGTCAAAACTCCTCTGAGAGCTTTATGAAAGCCAAATACATGGGAAGTTTAACCCCGCAATTCCATCTCAGGCCTCTCTGAAGCTGTGAGAGGTAAAAGGGCCATTGTTTTACAGCCTGGATATTTTAATATCAATAACAGTACTTTGTATACACTTTTGTTCTCACGATTTGAGATCTTAAGAAACAGTGTAGTGTGTGTGTGTGTGTGTGTGTGTGTGTGTAAAAAATGCCTCTTCCTCGTTAGTCAACAGTTACTCACCACACATTATTGCTAAATATCCTCCACTTACAACTGTTTTCTTATGATTATAAGTTGACATATTGGTCTCCAACAAGCACTCAGTGAGATTTATACATTGCTCTCCAAACAAGACAATCACACCATTCATCTCAATGTGTCAGTGAGCAAGCAAGAAAGTTAGACACTCTAATGAAAAATGGACTTCTGAAAACTCAGTAAGTGTTAAAAAGCGTCTGATCCACTGGCATCACATAATTCCAGCTCTTAAAGATCAAAACCAAATGCTGTGCTTTCATTCAGAAGGCAGTGATAACTGAAGCTTTGATTGTCATTCAGTTCCCACTACACTGTTCAATGTAAATACATCCTGTCAAGAAATGATTTGGTCTCCTGCTGCAGCATTTCATAATGTCTTGAAATGGTTAGCACAGGAAAGACCAAGGACAATCAATGCAAGCTTTTATCTTCTGCGCCGTAAGTTGACATTAATTAATGTTCAGCAGTGGCATATCAATCTTTGTGCAAAGGAGAAAAGCTTTGTGTTTAGGGTTATACTTTCTCTTGTGCTATTTATTCTACTGAACTTTAATCATGCCATAATTAGCTGTTCTTTGTTCCTTCCTGTGTAAAGATTAGTGCTATACAGACCGTCATCACCAATCACAATTTTCAGAAAGTACATGGGAAATGACAATGTTAGCACTTCTTGTGGGCTGCTACCAGTCAATCAATGTGTCAAATGTTGGCTTTAGAATGCGAGGCTGGTAATCTGTTTTAATTGTACTGATCAAAAGTCTTTGATTGCCGGGGCATTATGTATATGGCATTTAAACTTTATAGTATAAAAATGACTTTTTACTCTCCACCTGTCTCTATCCTGTGACATTTACTAATTAACATGGTGACATTTATACAGTTGTTTTTCACTTCCCTCCTGTCATGGTCCTATAGTCAACAGTTACATAAACTTCTGATTTTTCTGCAAAACAAACACCACTTTAATTTCTCTGTGATGATTCACACCTTGTCCACAAAGACTTTGAAACTCTCGAAGGTTAGACGGATCTTTTTGCCAAATGACAGCAGAGCAATTGTGACTGAAAGGGCCACGACAAGAGAAAAATCCAGAAAAGTCATTTCCCAAATCAAAAAGTCATTTCCCACTCTGCGTACCCTTTCATACCTTTTTTCTCCAAATCTCACTTTTTCTCTCTTCCTCTCTACCCCTGCAGAGCTCCTGTCAGCCTGCCACGAGCTCCGGTGCCGCTACGGCTGCGTCATGACGAGAAACGGCACCTTCTGTTTCTGCGCTGATGGCTTTGAGGTCGGCGAGGACGGGACGAGCTGCAGAGGTAGGATTCAGCTGCGCTGGTGGGGGCCTCCTGCCATGGAGCTCTCCCCCCTCTCCCCTCCCTCTTCCCCACACCAATCCCTCCTTTTGCCCTCAGCTAGACTTCCTTCAGATGAATAAGCAGGAGGTACGAGGTATATGAGAACCATCTGTCTGCAGGCAGGGCCTCATGTACAGTGCATTACACCCAAACATGCATACACAACTATAGTATACGACACGCGATTTTTCTGTGTCTCTTCCTCTGCCTCTCTTCATATGTGCCACCGGCCTGGTTTCTGACAGCCAGTGAGGAAGACAGTATTTCGCTGTCAAAGGTGCCTCCAGAGTTGTAGTGTCTTATTTGGACTTTGCACATAGCTTATACCAAGAACATGGCACAGAATTGCATAATTATGCTGGAGGAAGGGGTTTAACAAAGTAACACCGCTTCCCTGAGTTTGATCCTGTTTGGGGAAGACAGGAGAGAGCAGTTTATATACTGCAGCTCCAAAAAAGGCTCATTGGTTATAAAAGTAATTACGCCTGAGGTGCCAGAGTGAGGCCACATTAAGTATACTTTATGTATTTGGGTCATGTTTGAGCACACCTAATTTGTTACAAATGACTCTCTTTCTTTTTTTCCATAAGATCATGATGAATGTGCCATGTATGGCGCATGCAGCCAAACCTGCACGAACACCTACGGGTCATACAGATGCAGCTGCACAGAGGGATACATCCTGCAGCCTGACAGGACATCTTGCAAAGCCAAACAAGGTGAGCGGCATTGGGAAACAACATAATCTGCATAGTATGTATGTTTCATCTCTAATAATAAACAAGGCGGTTTTGTTCATCCAGAGTGGAATTCCTGCTTATCGTCAGCCTCGGTGCTCAGTAGCTTTGGTAAGGCAAGATTAATGTGGTTTAGCAGTGACCACATCTATCACCCATGTGGGAATGGGTAGACATGGTCAGGCAGGATAATGATAAAATTAATGAGCATGAGATTTTAAGTGGGAGCAGTCTGAAGTATTTTGTGCGGAGACAATGCCCAGCGTCACCCTGATTTATGTTAATGCCCGATGCTGGTAAGAAATCTGTCCCGATGAGTAAAACAGCCTACTTAGAAATAAAACAACCGAAGAGGGTATTGTGTTTTGGTGGTCCACTGGTGCAAGTAAACAAGCTTAACCTTGTGCGGTATGTTTTTGTGTCTTGCATTTAACCATAAAGTGAAACTGAGTTTTTTTTAAGGGTGTTGTCACTATGGCATATATGGGTTGAAAATAGCTGGAGGCCCAACACACCTAGCAGGGGAGAACACCACAGTTGCAGCTTTTAATCAATGTGACTGGTGTCCTACCAGGAATAAACTGAATATGATTACCCATAAACTTAACTGAACCCAATGCTCACATGCATTAATATTAATTTAGCAGAGAGCGATAGTGGTATGGGGATAACTATGGGGTTACCATTAGTTGTAAAAGCTCATGAATATAAATTTCAGATAGACCTCTCTGAGGCTAGAAGATGAGGAGCAGCAGGGAATGAAAAACATATTAACGTGTTGAGTGTAAGATTGAAGTTGAAACTCTGCAGCACAAATGTTCTTTTTGGGGATTTAATCTTGATTCGATCTCTTCTCATTTGGCTCAGATTAAACTGAAAGGTATAATAATTTTTTTATTCTATTTGTATTCTGAGCATAAATCTGACTTTACAACACCCTGATGGTTTTCATGTCTGCTTGTTAATGCACTTCACTGACTCATGTTAAGTTGCAAATTGTAGATTATAGAGGTTCGGGGTTAATACATGTTGCAGAAAATATCTTTTGTGGACTTAAAAAATACAGTGAATGGCAGGAATGTGTTTCCATATAACAGACCCATCACTGCTCACTGTATTATTGTGTATTTTCATTGTGGAGGTATAGTATTTGTCTGTTCATAATCTAGAAATGCACTTTATGATGGTGTGTTATAAAATAGCTTTGTCATTTTTGCTCCATCAGCTGACATTTCCCAAGATTAAAACTCAGGGTAGACCTCTGTCACAGAGCCTGGTCAAAACCCCATCTACCCCTCATGTGGGAGAAAAATGTCCGACTACTAAAAGTTGATTCAGAGGGATAAGGGGAAGCAGTTATGTTAGCAGACATTCTGATTTATTGCCTATATTAGGAGAGTAGCCCCTGACTTCAACTTCTGTGGAAGATCGGGATAAATAAGGGCCGTTTTTAGGGGGTGAACCTGATGTCAGAGAATGTACACGCTCAATTAAGCCCATAAAGCAGCTTATCTCAGTTTTACCACCGTGGACAGTCCTGCCTCAACTAGACTTATGTTTCTCAATTTGTTGTTTTACTTCAAATCAATCAGCTCGGGAAATCGTTTTTTGTTGCATTGTTTTGGTGCCGTTTAACCGGCTGTTAGGGAGAATATTCTCTTTCTTTCTTTGAGTCTGAATGCAATTCATGCTTTTGACCTCTGACAGTTACTTTTTTTTCTCACCGAGGCAAAATAAAATAATACCTTCCATATTTTCCATTTCACTCTAGATCCTGGTGACAGCCGTCCAATGCTAGTCATTGGTGGTGCAGATCGTATTGTCATCACCCATCTAAATGGAACAGGCCTCCAGCCCCTGAGGTCTCTGAGTGTAAATGGAACACTGGCATTGGATTTCCAGCACAACCAGGAGAGCGTATGCTGGGCTCTCTCGACAGAATCCTCTGGGCAACTCCACTGTGCTGAAACAAGGAATCTGCGTGGATTCACACGGGAAAAGGAAATAAGAACGCAACAAAGTTTGCAACGTATGTTTTCAGCTGTTTATAGCTCCCTTCTCTTCCAGTTCATACTCCTTTTCATCTCCTTACTTTGCTGATGAATTTGAGTGATAATCCGATCTGAAGTTGTGAAAACTATCAATACAGGAGGGTAGTGGTGAGACGAGATATACATCACCAATGCTCTTTTCTGTCACACAAACATGCTCACCCCCTTTCTGTTTCTCTTTCTCCTTTTTTCCCTCTCACACTCTTACCTGTGAGCTCTCTCATATCTCTTCATTATGGGTGCAGTTGAAGGCAGGTTAGCCTCAGCGGTTTTGGCCGCTCACCTTTCCCTTACAGTTGTCCTTCAAGCCTGGAGGCTATGCCAGCTTCTCTTCTTCAAAAGTGCTCTCTTTCCCTCCTTTTTAGTTGGATCCGGTCAAGATCATCACAGATATCGGACCTGCTATTAAATGTGCATAGTTTGCGCTGGCTATTTTTATAGGCCTTCAGTCAAAGCCTAACCTATAACTGTCACCTATAGTTAAATACTGGTGCAATCATTGAGAACACCTGCATCAGAGGTGTCAGGTTATACTGTCCTTGAGTGGAGAGCTGCCAGCCAATCAAAATTCCCAGCGGCGATGGTTAAATTTAAAGTAGCACTGCACCAATTTTACACTTCAAGATTTTATGCTACATGGTGACTACAACTTCTCAGTGGAAGCTTTGATAGTATTTTTAAGATAAGGGTTATTGCAGCTTGTGCTTGGAGTCTGGATATTTTTTTACCAGAAACCTTCATAAACCTGGGCCGTGGAGATAGGCAGGGAGGAACTTAAAAAAACATGCTATTGAGATGCATTATGGGAGGTGAAGGACCTAGTGTTCTTGGCACTGGGCTAAGGACTATGTAAAAAGAGGGATATGGCAGCCTCTGCTTCTCCAGTGTCTTTTTTTTAATGTTTCTGTGGTAGTCATGGACATTGTTGAAAATTGTATTCAAGTATACTTTACATTTTAACAGTTTAACACAAGAGTCTTACACCTGCTTGCTATTGCAGATGTGGAGCACATGGCCATCGACTGGCTGACAGGCAACTTCTATTTTGTTGACCGAGTCACCGACAAGATATTTGTCTGTAACCATGCTGGGGACACATGTGTTACTATCCTGCAACTAGACCTGCTGAATCCTAAAGGAATAGCTCTGGATCCTCTCATGGGGTAAGTGTCCCGCAGCCTATATAATACATCTCTGAAAGTACCGCAAGGCTCATTTATCATCATGCATCTTTTGTTAAAGAAAAAAAAATGGACGAAGGGAGAGAGAAAAAAATCACTATGCATAACAATTGACTTGTCTGGAAGAATGTGAGTGAGTTACAATGAAGGGATTTAAATGATTCCCTGTCCTTCGACTCAGCCCTCCTCTCTTTGAGCTGTGTAATTTGGTGGATAGCTGGTGATGCTTCAGACAGCTTCTACTGTCGAGACATTCATTTGTATTCACTGATTTCACCCCACATCCCTCAGTAGAATAGGCCCCTGCAGGACTTTCCATTACAGGATTTTTGTCTCTGTAGAGATCACAAAAAAAAAAAAAGTCGAGCAACTGTGGAGTAAAAAATATCCCCACACTGCTCACAATGAAAAAACATTTACAGCATGTGGTTGATGGTCACACAGAACTTATGTAGGTTCCTGAGCAGTTTCCCGTGTCACCATGCAGACAAACAAAACAAACAGAAAAAGAAATTAAATAAATTGCATGCAGCAGCTGTAGCAGAACGTGAACCAGATTCAGTAGCTCAAAGCTTTTTCTGCCCTCGTATTTCCAGTGAGCAAAAGACGAGCAGGGCCATTATATTACGAAGACACAAGGACAGACACCAAGCTCGGAGCACATTTATAATGGTACACACATTTAAGAAACAGTGATACACTAATAATAGTGATACAGCCTTTTTTTTAGCGCTAGATCTTGAAGCACAGTAATGACCACCTCCAAACATCAATAACAATGGGAGCATGTTGCTGCTGTGCACCAATTCTATTAATCTGCATCATGCCCAGCCCCCATAAGGACAAGGCAATGTAAACTTTAAATCTTAACATATAATAAATTTGATTGAGGCTGAACTACATTGCTTCTTGTGGATTTCCAGTTTATAAATTGTGCTTTATTTAACAGCTTGTGCTACCTCCATAAACCATTGGGTCTAATCAAAATAATTAGCTGCTGGTTTCTTAATGACAAGGGCCGTTTGGATCTGGTTGGCAGCCCCTCTGTGTTCTCATTAAACGCTGGCTGGCCACTGGAAAGCAATATGGCTTATAAGAGAATATACTTTACCTTGGAGTTTCTATTCAAGCTCGCTCCCTGTGAGTCACCTCAGACACACTGTAAGTAAGGGTGGTTTTTCAGCGGTTTTGTCGTAATCACACATGACTCACGCACACACACACACATAAGTGCCAATTCTGTTGTGTGCATAGAGGGATGATTGTATGGCTGTGGAGTCTGCTGGCCCACAAGGGAGCTGGACATGCAGGCTGCTGGCTAGATTGTCTGTATAAGACACAGAAGTTTTTCCAAGACCTGTTCCTGCCTCTAATTGGTGAGATATGGGTACAGCTGTTTCTGAAGAGGTGAGCCTGAGAGAGGTCTGTCAGCCCGGAGCAATGGAGTGAAAACAAAAGAAATCAGGGAGGTGTTAGATAGCAGCACAGTGTGAGGAACGGTGTTTATAGAATATGCTCCGGTTTGGCACTCTGTTGTTGTTGTTATTTGATTCACTCAGTCTGTCTGCCTTTCTTACTGTCGGATAAGGCATTTTTACTTTGCTATAAGAAAGCCTTTTCTTCTTTTCCCTTTCTTCTTTTCTTTAAAATACCTTTTTGGAGAAGAGTTTGATTGGTTGTATGGTTTTTTCATCAGCTAAAATTTAAGCTACCTGCGCGTCCCATTTTAGTTTGTGTATACATTGAATTGTGTAAATGTGGCTGACTGGAAAGGATGTACTCTGTATTTTTTTATTATTTTTTTTAAATCCAATACAGTCATACTTGCAAAGATTGTTGAAGCCTTTAAGATATTGAAAATGAAAGGTTGAGTCAAGATTCCGCACTATGCCACTGAGTCAACTCTTTTCCTTGTAAATTAAGTTTAAATATTAATTTGTTATGCCAAATACTTTTAGGAAAAAACATGATTACTTCCTAGATTATGTTGTCCTCTCAACATTTTGTCAAGCCTTTTTACTGATTGTAATATCATTAGTTTTGCAGATATTTGATCATAGAACGAAGTATTGAGCAAATTAGAATTTTGATCTGATGAAAGTGTTGGATTAAACAGTGATGGAATACTTCAGCCACCCAAATGACCATTTTTAAAGCATTTGCCTAACCCTGTGTTTGAATTTGGGAGGAAAACTCTGATTTTCTTGCATGCCTCCATGGTGAACAAAGACTCCAGTAAAAGACAAACATTCTTGATTAATTTAAATTCTAGAGGACCACGTTTAACAACAACAAAACTATATGAAAACATCCATTTGCAAACTCTTACACAACACACGCAGTACAATCCAAGTCTTGTTTACCCAGTCCTATGCTCAGTACTTTACAAACACACAATTTTTTGCTAAAACTCAACATTCATAAACAGTCTAAGGCATGTATAAGTAGTGCACCAGCACAGTTGTTGCAGAGGTGTAATATTTCAGCAAAATTCATGAGAGACTTGAATTACACTGCATGAGTTGTGTGAGAGTTTGTAAACTGATGTTTTGATAGAGTTTAGCTGCTGTTCAATGCAGCCCCCTTCACCTCAGTATATGAAGAATTTTCTCCATTTTGAGATTCTTTGTTCACCGTTGAGGGATGGAAAGTTTTCTCCATGAACTCAACGCAACAAGGGGATGAGTAACTGATATACAAATGGTCATTTTGTGGGTGAAGTATTACTTTAAGGGATTACCAATGTAGTTACAATTCATCCTGAGGGAAACAGGAATGTTCCAACAAAATGTTCATGGCAATCCATTTGATATTTTTTTGAGATGCTTCACTAAACCCCAAAATGTCACCTTCATGGTGGCATTGGTGATAGTCACCAATGTCAGATTGATCCAGTGTCTGGGGAACATCAGGCAGCTTTTTTAAATTTTAAATTTTTTGTATTTTCTAGGTTTTACGTAACCAAAACAAACAGTTGAAAGCTTCAGAGAGCTAAGAGCTTTGACATTACATTCATGTTAATACAAGAAATATTTAAACTGAAAATAAATACATAAATACAACTAATGCAGAATTACATTAGTCTATTACATTATTGCGTTAGCCATTAACATTAATCTATAGAAGGTCATCATTTTACAATCATGATAGCAGTTTATAGTTGTTCATGAGGTCAGAGACCTTGACGATTATTATAGATGTTTTATGGTAAAGATGCATTACAGTCTGGAAATTGCAAATCTCAACACAGCAGCTGGTGGAAGTAAACTATTTCCTGCCATTACTGTACAAAATTGACAGAAAGCTACTACTGAAAGAAGAATCAGAAAACAGTCTTTCATTGTAACATTGTCTATTCAGTCTTCTGTTTTACTGTAAGACAGGTACTATTATCCGCAGTCCCATGCAGTTTATATCATCAGGGGTGCTCATTTCTAGAATTCCAACATGGATCTCGTTGTAGCTGCAGAATGCACAAGTACAGCATCAGCACCATCCTAATCCCAGAAAGCTATCATTTGTATGCCACGTGGAGGTGCACCTGTTTGGGGAGCTGGGCTCCTTGCTGACGCTGACAGTTTTTCAGCGCAGCCTGGACTAGGGTTCAAAGGGCAGCCCATCTCTCCCCTGACTTGACTTGTGCAGATTAAGTCAGCTTCCCGCCGCTCTCCGGCTGTAGCTCGTTATCATTGGAGGTTGTTGGAGCTCGGTCCTCACAGAGCCACAGCAAGACAGCATGACAAGCCTTCCATGTTAATTACTGTATGTGCAGACCTGAGCAGTTTTGATTACCTAAAGTGACAGTCTGTGAGAGTAGTTGTTAAATGACATTTCAGTTATTTGTCCGATGTAATTCAGTCCCTATTGTTAGAAACAAATTAGACTACATGTAACACCTATTTTCTATGAATGCTCAGTATTGGTCTTACATTCCACCGGCTCCCTGTGTCTTTTCGAATTGATTTTCAAGCCCTCCTCTCAGTTTTTGAGGTACTAAATGGTTTGGCTCCTCTGCACATCACACGTTGTCTATCATTTATGTCTACTCACATACCCTGAGGTCCTCTGCAGCATGCCTTCTAAACGTCCCCAAAATTACCACGAAGGAAATGGGAAATGCTGCTTTTATTGTTTTTGCCTCCAGGTTATGGAGCTTCAATGTATCAAAGAGGCAGCCTCGCTGGGCATTTTTAGGAGACATTTCAGAACATTCTGATGCAGTGTTTTGAAATCTTGCTTCATTTAAATATTCATTCTAAACTCCTTTTATGTGTTGTTTTAATTTATTTGTATTTATTGTCACCCCTGTGCCTGTTTTCATTATGTAAGCCACCACTCTGTTGCACCATTATATGAAATGTTATTACATTTTATTATAAACAGTGCTGTTTGTATCCTGTGCTCCAACTATCAATCATTGTCCAGTGCTGTGAAACTTAATTTTTTTCCTGAAATTATCTGCTGATGTTCTGTGTTTATGTACTTAGAGCTTTTTTCAGGTTCTCCCCCTACATCTTAATGACTAAGTTGTTTGTGCATTATTGCTTCAAAAAATGGCTCATATGAGTCTCTTCTGAACTGGCACGTTAGTCAGTGCCTTCAGAAACTGGAACTACTTGGTTCAGGTTAGGACACTTTTAAGACTGTACACATCTAAAATCTGCTTTTACTAATGGTAGGAAATGGGTTGTGAACAGCGGCCTAAAGTGTTCAGATGCTTTGCTTTGTTGATCCAACTATTCACTTCAACCTCATCGTGCAATGAGGTGCTATAGCAACATCACACTACTGCTTTATTTGCTTTTGATAGACAAGAGTTATATGATGTTCTTGTGTGACAAATGGAACCATTGTTTTTGGCATTTGAAAACAACCAATGCAATCTTTTTTTTTTTTTTTTTGAATTTGCTCTTGCTGCTTTTACTCAGTACATTTTAGAAGCCTGTTCCCAAGGGAGACTAAGATGTCATCAATCACACAAC